TGATCACTCACCTCTTCAGGAGTGATGACTCCAGTTTCTTTAAACTTTGACTCCTAGAATAAAAACAATTCAGAAACATTTACAGCTCTGTTGACATTTGAATCCCACTCTCCAAGGCTGAAGAAACTCTGCTAGGCTCTGATCCTGCAACTGTCTCTCTCTAGGTCAGCGATTCTCAAACTGTGGGTTGTGACCCCATTTTAATGGGGTCACCAGAGCTGGCTTAGACTTGCTGGGGTCCAGGGCCGAAGTCCGAGGACTTCAGCCCTGGGGGGCGGGGCTCAGGTTACAGGCCACCCGCCTGGAGCTGAAGACCTTGGGCTTTGGCTTTGGCCTCCCACACCACCCATGGCAGTGGGGCTCAGGCGTTGGCCCCTTCACCCAGTGTGGTAGGGCTCAGGCATCAGTCACCGCTCCTGGGCTCATGTAGTAATTTCTGTGTCAGAAGGGGGTCGCGGTGCAATGAAGTTTGAGAAACCCTGCTACAGGTAGCTCTGTGCACCAGCTTGAGGGCAGTTGTGGGGTCAGTACCCTAGTTTGTAGCCAGCCTGCATCCATTTTCTATAGCACAGAACATTAGCAAGAAAGTAGTTCTTTGCAGAATCCAAGAGGTTATCAGAACTGCCACATAACTAAAGCATATTTTTCTGCAATTATCAACAGTTCAGTTGGCTAATAGGAGAGCTCCTGTGATCAATGCTATACTTGCTTAAGAGGCAGAAAGCCAGTCAGAACCAGGCATTCTCAGCCATGATTTGTGTAGCTGCCCTAAGTACTAAACTAAAAAATATTAACGTAATGCATCAGCTTGAGATTACAAAAAGCAAAGAAGTCCAGAAATGACAAATGATTGTTCCCACTGCCAATGTGCCTTGGACCCATTTTGTAGAGATATTTTATTATTTGCTTTTTTGGTGTATATATCCATCCCTTTATTGTGCGCCACGTGGAAACAGTTTTGAGTTTCTTGAATTTTCTCATGCTGTTTTCATTAACTTGTTCTCGGTTTGGACAAGGTACATTGCTATCTGCAAGATTTCAGTTTACTTTTGCATTCAGACAGACATCTAGAAAGTTTGTTAAGTGTAAAAAACAGGTGTAATTCATGCTCATGTAAACCCAGAATGCACAGAAAATTTTAGACTCCAGAAGAAATAACATCAGCACTGAAAGACCAGAAGTTTTCCCCCATAATTTTAAGACTACCCAAGAATGAGAGAACCAGTAGTTATCCATATTTGGGATGTGCCACCCATCACCGTAATATTTGAGGTGGATTTCCTTCCTACTGCCCTGAACAGCTCTCAGATTTCATCATCAAGTCTCAGGCCTCTTTTCGACCAGTACTCTGACTCTAGGCTACAATTCCATCCTGTTCAATCCTCCAACATCATTCAGTCTTCAGTTAAGCATACATTCTACTGCCTCCACTGCCAGAGTTAATTGCCATAGATGCACAGCATGGGGCACAAAGTCGGAGGATGTCCAAATTGTCTCCTTTTAACAACGGAGCTGAAAAAAGCGAAGTCTTCATATAAGCAATCTAGTCTCTCTCCTCCTCCCCCCTTCAAAGATGAAGGAAAAAATATAATTTAAGTGCATGATTCAGATGAGACAGGCAAAACTCTTGTTGTATCACTGCGAGACAATAGAATATCAACACTGCATGCCAATGAAAATTCTCCTTTTAAGAGTTTGGAATAATAGATAAATCTCAAGACTTTATGGCAGTACATTGTGTTACCGTATCAAAGACTCAGAATGCAATGACCTTAGGACTCGTTCCCAAGGTGCATCATACAGCACATACAAGTCTAGGATCCTGAGAGTGGGTGGGGCCAAAAATAGACCAGCCTGGATCCCCTGTCAACTTAGTGAAGTGTAAAAAGCTTAGCTTCTTTAGAAGGCAAGGCTACATTATGCTGCATTCCTAGTGGGTATTTTTAAAATCCCATCCATCTGTAGTAGAAAGACAGCCTGAAGCAGAGGCCTGGTCCAAGGCCTGAATCAAAGTCAGCAAAAGTTATGCTTTGGGCAAAAGTCAGGCCCTCTCAAAAGGAGATGCTTGCCTGCAAATTCACTGTTCGGTACATGAACTCGACGCCAGTATTGCTAGCATTGCTAAAATATACTGATGATGTAAATACATTCCCGCAGGCTAGGACAAGAACACCCCAACCTAGCACACGATAAGATGGTTTGACAGAAGTGATGACTAGTGATGTTTTGTCTGAAACATCAGGAGAAAGGTACAAGGGGTGGTAATAAACATCATGAAACAGGTAAGGTAATACTGTAGGCAAGTTGTTTATCCCAGATGGTTTGTTTCAGTCTATAAATGCTGGAATGCTTCACCTTAACCCTTTGTCCAGCTGCTGGTTCTCTGTCATGGGCAAACATGTATTAAGTTTACCCGTAGCACATATAGGGAACTAATACTGTGCTTTGTTGGCAATAAACCTGGCCTAGCGCTTTCACCACTGAACAGAGTCTGTGGTCTTCTTGGGCTGTTCAATCGAAGTCTGCTGTGCGAGCTATCTTGTCAGAGCCTGTGCAGCACACAGCAAGAACACACAGAGCCAACAACTCACACCACAATTCACTTAGTTTTCAGTTGTTGTTTTGTAGCATTCCAGTCTCTCACAACAAGCTATTCAAAGTGCAAGGATAGTGAACAGCATGTGTCTTCCTTTAATACAATGTGTTACAGTGGTTAGAAGGGGAAATTTGGAGTTAGAACTCCCGGGTTCTATTTCTAGCACAGCAAGTGACCCATTCAGTAAACTTAGACAAGTCACTTCAACTCCCTGTGCCTCAGTTTTTGTCTCTATACTCACAGTTACAGTGATGGGCAATGTTACAAAAACTTAGCTAAAACATGGACACCATAATATTTACTTCACAAGGGCAAGAAAATTTGGTTTATGAATGAAGAATGTTATAAAGTGGTCTACAAACAAGGATCTCTGATGTGAAGTACAAAATATGTAAGGAAGTTACATTATAGAAGCCTGAAATGATCAAGAGGAATGTGTTTTTGTTTTTTCCCTTAAAAGGGTCCCAGTAGAAACAACTCTTCTGAAAGCATGCAGTAAAGATCTGAAAGCAAAACTGTCTTCACTGTTTTCATTACCTGGACTGAGGAAAATCCAGAGACTAAACTGACAGCAAGAGAAGAGAACGGGGATTTTTAAAAAAAAATCATCAGTTTTAATACAAGGGATTATTAGTAACAAAGGCAAGAATACTTTGCAGTAGGACAGCTACATGTAACAAAGAACTAAAGTGACAGAAGTACCTGCATGTGTCACAGCTACATGAAGCACAGAAGTAGATAAAAGTATTTGCACATTACAACGGTTTGGACTATTAGACTAGGTCTAACAGAGCAACTAGACACCCACAGCAGGCACAGGCCAGCTGCAGTGGTTTACCTACTGTGTAGACATAGCCTTATTTAAAGGCCTTGCCAACACACAAAAATTGTACTGCTTAAACTACACTGGTATAATAAGAGTGGTACAATCCTCCCGCCACCCCCCGGAGTGTGGACTCAGTTATACCCAGGTGCTTATACCAGCATAGTTTCTCTCTATAAAGGAAGGGGAACAAGCTATAGTGGTATAAGAGCACGTCTTCACTACCCGCCGGATCGGCGGGTAGCAATCAATCTATTGGGGATTGACTTATCGCGTCTAGTGAAGATGCGATAAAAATCGATCCCTGATCACTCTGCCATCGACTCTGGAAATCCACTGCGGCAAGAGGCGGAAGCGGAGTCGACGGCGGCACGGCAGCGGTTGACTCGCCGCCGTCCTCACAGCCAGGTAAGTCGACCTAAAATACGCAACTTCAGCTATGCTATTCACGAAGCTGAAGTTGCGTATCTTAGGTCGACCCCTCCCCTGTAGTGTAGGCCTAGCCTCAGGCACCTATGGTGACCAGACAGCAAGCGTGAAAAAACAGGACAAATTTTTGGGAGGAGACGAGGAAGCTATAGTTATGTATAAAGACAAAGCCCTTAGTATCAGGGCGGTACTGATAATATCAGGACATCTGGTCACCCTAAAGGCACCTTTCCACCCATGAAACTGCACCTAGACTAGTACAACCCCTAGTGTAAACATCTCAGTACAAAGTCACGCCCCTAACCAACACAGCAACACCGGCACCAGAACGGTCATCGCCCAGGCCTAGGAGCCGGTACCCGAGGGCAAGTCACCGCTAAAGGCTCCCTGCCCACTTGTAGCCTAGCTCGGGGGACAAGCCGGGCCCCTCCCAGTGTCCGGGGCTGCGCCCGCCGCCGCCTCCCGGCCTGGAGCAGAGCGGGCTCCCTCCCCGCGCTGTGACAGCCCCGCACGCCCCGGGGCCCCGCTGGCGAGACGTGCATATGAAGGGACGGAGCAGGCTGGGGCCGTTTCGCGGCTCTCGCTGGGACACCAGCCTGCCCCAGACACTAGCGGGCTACGCCGCCGCGGGAACCGCCCCGGGGGTGTGGGGGGGGGTCCGACGGGAAGAGGCGCCTCCGGGCCCACCCCCTCCGCCCGGGGTCAGGCTGCGGCGGCCCCACCGGGCGGTACCTTGAGCACGGGAGTGAGGTACTCGGCCACCTCCAACGCCTTCCCCTTCACCGTGTTGATGACGTTCTGCATCCTGCCGGCGCGCGCGGGGGTCCCTAACGCCCACAGCCCCGCTCGCGCCACAAGCCTTCAGCAGCACCCACCGCCAGCCGGAGTCACATGACCTGTTCTCCCCCACGCACGTGACACAGAAGTCCAGAGAGGGAAAAGCTCCTCTCACAGCTTTATGCTTGCACGGCAGATTGCCGGCTAGGGCCCAGAACGCGCATGCGCACGTGAAGAGCCAGTTCCCTGCGCGCACGCGTAGAATGGGGGGCCGGAGAAGGACGAGGAGAAAGGACGTGCGCAGTGGGCTGCACGGGGAAGGGATCACATGACTGTATGGGGCGCTTCCCAACACGTGACTAAGCGGCAAGGGGCGTGCGCGAGTGGTGATGCTGGATGGGGGAGCCGCTGCCGCCTGGTGAGCTGGGGGGCGGGGTCTGGGAGCCGTGAGGGCGTGTGTCGCTCGCTGCCCCTGCGCCGAGGGGCCCGCGATGCGGCGTCGTGGTGGCGGCGGGGCCGGCGCGGAAGCCCGGGGGAGCGGCGCTCTCTGAGGCGGGGCTGCCTCGGCCTGGAAGCGAGCGCGCGGCCCGCATCAGCCCCGAGCAACGCCGCTGCCCGGAGCGGGACCCAGCGCGGCTGCCCTGGCCCGGGTCTCACGCGGGAAGCGTCTCTGGCTTCAGGCAGCGGCGATCCGCGTCGGCGGCATGTCGGGGCATCCGGTAGCCAGGGCGGCCCGGGCCCAGCGCTCCCCTCTCCACCTGTAGCGGCCCCTCCCGTCTGTGCTGCAGCAGGGCGGCCCCGGGAGCAGCTCTCTAGGGTAAACACCGGGCCGGGCAGCTGCACATGCCACGTCTTTGTACCTACGATTTCTGGGCACCTGCAGCCTCTTCTGTACTGACACTTGATTCAGCCCATCGGTCTCATGGCAATTTGCCAGCTTGGCTCTCAGGGCGTGTCTACACTACAAAATTAGGTCGATGTTATAGAAGTCAATCTTTAGAAAACGATTTTATACAGTTGATCATGTATGTACCCACTAAGCACTGTAGGTCGGCAGAGTGCGTCTTCAATACTGTGACTAGCATCGACTCATAGAGTGTTGCACTGTGGGTAGCTATCCCACAGTCCCTGCTGCCCATTGGAATTCTGGGTTAAGCTCTCCGTGCCTGATGGGGCAAAAACATTGTCACGGGTGGTTTTGGGTACATGTTGTCAGTCTTCCCTCCCTATCTCCTTGAAAGCAACGGCAAACAATCGTTCCGCACCTTTTTTCCAAGGTTACTCATGCAGATGCCATAGCATGGCAAGCATGGAGCCCACTCAGCTCAGCACTGCTGTTGTGAGCATTGTAAACACCTCCCGCATTATTCTGCAGTATGTGCAGAACTTGGCTAGGAGCCGCCAGCACGAGGATGATTGTGAGGAGGACATCGACACAGACGTTCCTGAAAGCACGGGATGTGGCAGTTGGGATATCGTGACGGCAGTGGGGCTGGTTGATACAGTGGAACGCCGATTCTGGTCCCGGCAAACAAGCACAGACTGGTGGGACCACATAGTGTTGCAGGTATGAGATGATTCCCAGTGGCTGCGAAACTTTTGCATGTGTAAGGCCACTTTCATGGAACTTTGTGAGTTGCTTTCCCCTGCCCTGAAGCGCAGGAATACCAAGATGAGACCTGCCCTCACGGTTGAGAAGCGAGTGGCGATACCCCTGTGGAAGCTTGCAATGCCTGACTGCTACTGGTCAGTTGGGAATCAATTCGGAGTGGGCAAATCTACCATGGGGGCTGCTGTGATCAAGGTAGCCAAGGCAATCACTAACCTTCTGCTAGCAAGGGTAGTGAGTCTGGGAAATATGCAGGTCATACTGGATGGCTTTGCTGCAATGGGGTTCCCTAACTGTGGTGGGGCGATAGATGGAACGCATATCCCTATCTTGGCACCGGACTACCTTGCCAACCAATACATAAACTGCAAGGGGTACTTCTTAATGGTGCTGCAAGCACTGGTGGATCACAAGGAACGTTTCACCAACATCAACGTGGGATGGTCGGGAAAGGTGCATGATGCTTGCATCTTTAGGAACTCCGGGCTATTCGAAAAGCTGCAAGAAGGGACTTACTTCCCAGACCAGAAAATTACCATTGGGGATGTTGAAATGCCAATAGTTATCCTTGGGGACCCAGCCTACCCCTTGCTCCCATGGCTCATGAAGCCGTACACAGGCAGCCTGAACAGTAGTAAGGAGCAGTTCAACTATAGGCTGGGCAAGTGCAGTTAAGTTCTTTGGACATTTAAAAGCTCGCTGGCGCTGTTTGCTGACTAGGTTAGACCTCAGTGCAACCAATATTCCCATTGTTATTGCAGCTTGCTGTGTGCTCCATAATATCTGAGAGAGTAAGGGGTAGATGTTTATGGCGGGGTGGGAGGTTGAGGCAAATCACCTGGCGGCCAATTTTGAACAGTCAGACACCAGGGCGATTAGAAGAGCATAGCTAGAAGCGCTGCGCATCAAGAGAGGCTTTGAAAAACAGTTTAATGACTGGCCAGGCTACGGTGTGACAGATGCAAAACCACCCCCTTTGTTGAATGTACTTCCCTGTAAGCCAATCTCTCTCCCCCCCACACCCACGACCACAGCTGGCAAAGGAAATAAAGTCCCTATTGTTTTGAATCCATGCATTCTTTATTTATTTTTAAAAAAGTGAGATCACTGATAAGGTAGCCCAGGTGGGGTGGAGGAGGTGGGAAGGACGAGGCCACATTGCTTATTGCAGCCACACTACAAATCAAAGCTGTTTGAATGACAGCATTCTGTTGCTTAGGCCATCCTCTGGAATGGAGTGGTTGGGTGACTGGAGCCTTCCCCTTCGCGTTCTTGGGCGTCTGGGTGAGGAGGATATGGAACTTGTCGAGGAGGGAAGGCGGTTATACAATGGATGCAGCGGCGGTCTGTGCTCTTGTTGCCTTTCCTGCAGCTCCACCAGACGCCTGATCATGTCCGTTTGCTCCCCATTAGCCTCAGCATCTCCTTCTGCATGTTCTGATCACGCTCACTGAATGCTTTCCTGGCCTCCGCCACTGAATGCTTCCATGCATTCAGCTGTGCCCTATCAGTCCAGGAGGACTGCATGAGCTCAGAAAATATGTCATTGCGAGTGCATTTTTTTTCGCCTTCTAATCTGCGATAACCTCAGGGATGGAGATGATATGGGGAGCATAGAAACATTTGCACCTGCAGGGGGGGATAAAAAGGGAAAAGGGAGACTCTTTCATAGTGAATCAAACAATTCACAGCAGACAGCACATGTGCTTAAGGTACAAGGTCACATTTTGCCTTTTATATTGAGCGCCTGCTGGTATGGTGACCCATCACACACGGCTGGGCAACAGAATTCGGTTTCCAGGCAGCCATGGTAAGCCAAAGGGTACGCGGGGTTGGCTTCTGCCTTCATAACATGTGGGAATGGTTTCAAACTGCAGTGCCCCCCTTTTCCATAGCAAGCAATGCCAATTGGGTTTGTCATTTAAAAGGAGGGGCTGCGGTTTTGGGGTGGATGTGCAGCACACCCCTCCCCCCACTGTGTGGCTATTCTCCAGGATGATCCATTTTAGCCAAGTGCAAACAGCCCAGCATGAATGCGGTCCTTTTACTGTTCACTTACAAAACTTCCCCTATTTCAGCCAGGTGACTATGAATGATATCACTCTCCTGAGGCTGAGAAAGAAAGATAAAGATTGAATGTTGCATGAATGCGACCAAAACCCAGGACCATTTGCTGCCATGGTTTGTGCTGCAGTGATTCCAGACCACTTTCTACTGGCTTGGCGTGGTAAAGTGTCCTACCGTGGAGGAAGAAATAAGGCAGCCCTCCCCAGAAACCTTCTGCAAAGGCTGTCAGAGTACCTCCGGGAGAGCTTCATGGAGATGTCCCTGGAGGATTCCCCTCCATCTCCAGACATGTTAACAGACTTTTCCAGTAGCTGTACTGGCCATGAATGCATCCCAATTCTTCAGGGCAAATCAAACATTAAACACAATTGCTTTTAACCCCTGTAGTTTAGTTACAAATGTGCACTCACTAGAGGTGCTTTCTCCGCCTTCAGGGTCTGGGAACTCGCCTTGGGAGGGTATTGGCTCCAGAGTGATGAAAAGTTCGTGGCTGCCGGGGAGAACGGATTCTCCCCTTGCCTGCTGCGCATTCTCCTCCTCCTCCACAAAATCCTCCTCCGTGTTGCATGAGACTCCCCCCTTGCAGGTGTTCACGGACAGTAGTGGGGTACTGGTTGGGTTCCCCCTCCCCAGAATGGCATGCAGCTGATCACAGAAGTGACATGTATGGGGCTCTGATCTGGAGCGACTGTTTGCCTCCTTTGTCTTGTAGTAGGCTTGCCTGAGCTCCTTAACTTTCACGTGGCACTGCTGTATGTCCCTGGTGTAGCCTCTCTCCACCATGCCCTGTGCGATTTTGATATATATATATTAGCATTTCTTCTTTTTGATCGGAGTTCTGCCTGCACAGATTCTTCTCCCCATACAGCAATCAGATCCAGTGTCTCCCGTTCGCTCCATGCTGGAGCTCGTTTGCAATTCTGGGGGGACTGCATGGTCACCTGTGCTGCTGAGCTCGCCACGCTGACCAAACAGGAAATGAAATTCAAATTTTCCCAGGGCTTTTCCTGTGTACCTGGCTAGTGCATCGGAGTTGAAAGTGCTATCCAGAGCGGTCACATTGGAGCACTCTGGGATAGCTCCCGGAGGCCAATACCGTCTAATTACACAACACTGCGTCTGCACTACCCCAAATTCGACCCAAGAAGGTTGATTTTAGCGCTACTCCCCTCGTTGGGGAGGAGTACAGCAGTCGATTCTAAGAGCCCTTTAGGTCAACGGAAGGGGTTGGTTGTGTAGCCGCATTGCTTATAAAATTGACCTAACGTGGCTAAATTCGACCTAATCTCATAGTGTAGACCAGCCCTTAGTGAAACAAAGTTTGCGGCTTCTCCTGCTCTTTTTCTTAGCAGCACCAATAAGAAACAGGAGCGGGTTTCTGTTTGCATTCTTGTTTTCTAATTTCAGTGCTTCAGGTAACTAAATTATAGTAAACATAAGTCTTGATCATGTTAATATATGCTGTTTAGTAAGACTGAGAGGTTTGTGTAGGGGTTTGGACTACCATCGTTGGACTCTATGGAAATGAATGAGATCCTGTTTCAGCACGAGACATAGCAAATTGACAACGGTAGGAACAAGATTTTTTTTTAAAATGTGAGACATCATAAAAGAATAGATAGATACCAAGACTATGCCATTTGTTTAACCCCAGTAGTTATTCAGCATTGTACAAATACATCCCTCTCCCAGCATTGCTTTTGGGTCTTCCACTGGAGCATTCAGTGAATGTTGTGTATCTCTTTTGCTGCTGCTCAGAGATTTTTCCAAAGCAGCAATAGAATGAAACTACGGTAGGGCTCCAGAAAGCAATAAAATCATGTGTGCTTAGATATCTGTTATCAGTGTCTGAAAATACGTGTACAAGGTATTTTCATTTTGTTGTCCAAAGGGCATTGACAGCCAGACAGCAGAATGGAGACCAAGTGCTGCAGCCCGTCTCTATGGTGCTCCAAGTCAGCCTTGTACACATTCCTGCTAGGAGGAGCATTTGTTACCTTGGGTTCAAGTCGTATTCTCCTGATGAAGTATTCCGCCAATGAAGGTAATGTTGGATGTTTAATATATAATGTATTACCTGCAGAAATTAGAGTTTTCTACTTGGGGTAAGACAATGTAGATGCTGAGATTAAACCACTCTATTGCAAATATATTTACTAGGTTTGGTGTCCCATTCGAGCAGTGTGTTTATCCTTGCCTTTCACCTGCAGGTTTGTTAGGAGCATAAATGTTTTAATACAGAATCTGTTTCTGGGGGAGCAGTGTGGTCTAGCGTAGTGTTTCTCAAACGTGGCCACCAGGGGCTTTTCTTGCGGCCACAGCCTCCTGGGCAGTGATTTGAGGGCGGGGGGGCAGGGCAGGCGCAAAGCAGCGGCCCCTCCCCAGGGGCCACCAGGAGTGGTTGGGCCCTGCCTTCCTCTGAAGAGAGACAAGCTGGAGGAACAGGCAGCCAATGAGTTCCCCACCTTCCCAGGGGCAGTGGGATCGGGCTTTAGCCCTCGGGTGGCAGGCTTTAGCCACGGGGCTTTGGGCTCTGTCCCCTGGGCGTGTGGCTTTGGGCTCCATTCCCTGGCTGTATGGTGATGGGCTCTGACCCTAAGCTCATCCTCCCCCCATCACCTCTGGCCCCCGCTGCCTCTCCCAGTGCCCCATCACCCCTGGCCCCTGCTGCCTCTGTACCGACCTCCCCATCCAAGGGTTAATTTGTCCCAGGGCTTGCTTGCCGGGGCTGAGTAAAAAGTGATATTGTATGTTTGTTAATATCACTTTTCACAGCACACTTAGTAGCTAGCAAGTCTAAAAAAAAAAAAAAGCAACCAAAAAAAGCAACAGAAACAATAAGCAAAATGACAAGAACGTTCAAAACACCTTATTTGTGTTTCTATTCTGTTTAGGCCCAATAAAGAATAGAAACAACTGTACACTATTTTTATTATTGAGTCTGTAAAAAGAAAACACCCTACATAGATAGATTGCAATGATTTGGACATGTACCTTTGCATATTTATTTGTTTTTCCTAAAGTTAATTAAGTATTTTAGGAAAAAATTTCACCAACTCTTGCTGGTGGCCGCATTCTGAGGCCACCAAAAAAATTGTTATGAGAACCCCTGATCTAGTGGATAGAGCACTGGACTCGGGAGACCTGGATTCTATTCCTCATTCTGCCACTGATCTGCTGGGTAACCTTGGGCAAGTCTGTGCTTCTGTTTCCCCATCTGTAAAATGGGGGTATGGCACCTCTTTCATTTAAAGCTCTTTCAGATCTACTGATGACAAGAGTGATATAAGACTTAGTTGTTATTGTTATTGTGCATTGGAATCTGTCAGCAAAGAGAGTTTTTTCTATGCTGAAAACCTTCTATTTAGCCCTGATGTGCCTGATATTGAAAGGTGCTATGCCCTCAACTCCCACAGAAGTCAGTCTTTCATGATCAGGCCTTTTGTTACTATATAGTATTGTGGCTGCCAACTTTAGTAAAAACTGATAGAGTATGTGAGAAACAGATTTTAAATACTTACAATAATTCTGGCTAACAATGAAAGGGCCTAATCCTTGAAGAAGGGTTAGCCAACTTAACAACCTCAAACTTGTAAAATTGTCAGTTTTGTGTGAGCAAAAAAAAAAAAAAAAGCTCAAATTTAATTAAATTGGGAAAGTATGATTTTTCATCTTTCAGTAGCACTCTATAATGGCTGAACTAATTGTACTCAACCTTTCCTGAAGAATTCAAACTTATGAGCTTGAGACTAAGCATGGAAAACTTCAGCCTGGAAAGTGAAATGTTCAAGAAGTTGTGTGCCATTGAAAATATGGAGTATTTATAGTTAAAGTCATGAACATAACCTTAACTTACAAAGTGTGCATTGTTTATGGAACCTGGTCAGAACTTTTTAATGGATGTGTTTAAGCGATTATCATGGAATTGTTGTGCTCTTTCTGTTGCTCTAAATGTGATTGGAAAAGTTGGATGAGTAAGAATGTTTATTTGCTATAATAATTTTGCTGAATTTCACAGATAACAAATACGATTATCTTCCTGCAACTGTGAATGTGTGCTCAGAGCTAGTTAAACTGGTGCTATGTATGACAGTGGCACTGTGGATAACAACAAAAGGTAAGTTCATATGGCTAAAAATCTGTTAGGAAATGTTCACCTTATACTTTAAATCCCTCTGCTTTTGTATGATGGATTCAGATGTACAGTAATTGTACTATACGTGTGGTGTACCATGGTAGAGCCTATTTGCAGTGGTAACGGGGACAGTATCTTCACTGAGAGTTAACTTGAGTTGCACTCTGCACTTGATTAACTCCTCTTGAATTAGTGTAGCTTGAGTGACAGAGGCTACACTGTGAAATTGTACAGAGCAATTGTATAAGCAGCACAGAATGATTGTGTTAGCAGCTGACAAACTCAAGCTGTAGGCTTGGTCTACACATGGAATTTATATTGGCATAGACCCCACTGTAGACTCAGCTACGTTGACAATGCTTCTATCAGTGTAGCTGACATTATTCATGGAGGTGGTATTCGTATGCTAACAGAAAAACCCCTTCTGTTGGCGTAGACTGTGTCTGCACTACGGGACTATGCTGGTATACTTATGCTGGTATTCTCTCTGTAGTGTAGACATACCCATAGTCTGTACCAGGGTGGATCTGATTTAAATCAAATCAGGAAGACTTGATTTAATCATGGATGTCTACATAAAAGTGCATTCTTGTTGGTTGTTATAACCTTAATATATATTATTCACAACTCAGATGTAGGTTTCATTTTTAGAAGGTACACACTATACATTTTTAAAGTGATTTATTTTGAAAACTTCTCAGATTAGTTTTACAGTTATATCAGAAAATGAATGATTGGTTATTTCATTTACCAAAGGTAATTGAAGCAGATATTTATGAAGTCATTGGGAGGTGAACTATTTCCAATTCAACAGGTTAATCATTAATATTTGGAGGATTTTCTTGCCATGCTGTATTAGGAGGAGAACATCACCAGACAGACATTTAAATTGTTTTATTTAACTAAAATAACGTTATGTACTGTGGATTTTTTTCTTCAACAGCAAACACATTTTTACAAAACAAGCATATGAATTTTTGAATTTAGTTAAACATTCAAGTTTTTTAAAATCAGGTTTGTTTTTGTTAAAATTATTTTTAACTAAAATAGTTAAATGAAATATTTTAAAAAAACAAAAAAAAATTAAATCGACTATATCAGTAAGGTCAACATGAGAAACATAAAATATTGGCTTATGCAGTTAACTCAGTCATCTTCACCTTAATTTTCCTGTTTGTTCATAATCTGGAAAAGAAAAACAAGCTTTCCTGCTTTTTCAGGTCTCAAACGATTTCTCAATTTGGAATGAATTAGTCCAAAAGAAGAAAATATTCTTTCTACACCAGCAGAAGAAGCTACTGCTGTTAAAAGTGAGATTATCACTTCAACAGTCTCTGAATCCAAGTGCTTAAGTGACTTCCTCCAGTTCACTGGTGTGACTTTCTTTAAAACATCATCATCAAACATATATTTCTTGAACGGTTCTTATTCCCAAACTGGGTCTCTTTTACGGCCTGCTGCCATTATAGGTTTTCCCTTCTAGTGAGAGAATGGTATGGTAGATCTCAAATCAATGAAGGCTACACTCAGAAAGACCTCAAGACTTTTGGAATATGCTGCTCAAACAATTTCACTTTCGTTTCTACTGCCTGTCTCTCCCTTCTCACATTTATCTCCAGACTTCTCCTTGTCCAGATCTTTTAGAGAGAGGTAAGGGATTGACTCTGTGTACACAAATTTGCAGAGGGACAATAGGTCTGTTATTTCCCACTTCTATATATTATTTATTTATTTAAAAACATTTTTGCTGTTAACAAGCATGTTATCTCTGGAGACTCAAATCCACAGTTTGAGAACTGCAAAACTAAGCATCTCTGATGCTATCTTCTAGACTGAGCACTGAGTCCCATTGGGTAGATAGAAAGATTAGCCCCTGGAACCCCATAAAATTGGGTCCCTAATCCATGAACTATTGGAACTCATTTACAAAACTTTTCTTAAACATTACATGAATATATTGTGTCATGCTATAGAATTAGAATTTATAATCCCTATTCCATGATGAGATATCTTTGAGCTATAATGTATCTTAATTAAAACTCTTTAGATAGGTTTTTTTCCCTCAAAAAGCATTTAAATAAAAAAAAATACAATTTTTTTTTTTTAAATCACTGATTTTTATCCACCCTGGTCTGTACACCCCGACAGGCAGTCAACTCAAGTAAAAAGCACCATCATACTGTAGTGAAGGGTTTTTGTGTATGGACAGGACTAGAGCTAGGGGCAACACTCAAGTTATAACTTGAGTTAACTCTGAAGTGAAGACAAGCCCTGGGTCTGTGATCTCTTCAGATCTTATAAGCTAAGCCAGGGTCAGGCTTGGTTACCTAATGCTGTAAAAAGTGCTGATGGCGACTGTTACGGTTCTCGGGATACCCAGGACTGTGAGTCATCTTATTACCCTCTGCCTCCAGTGTGAGGGAGTCTTGCCTGTGCCTTGCTGGACATCAGCTCCCTAACACCAGCCTGTCAGCCACTGAAGCACTCTCCTCTGAGCTATGCCAGTCCTGTCTTTACCTTTCAGATTAACAGTAGGTGCATCCTGGTCCCTGAATCCCTTCAAGAGTTCCCCTGTGATATCCAGCCCGACACTGGCTACTGTCAGAAATCCCAGATCCTCTGCCCCCAAAGACACAGTGTACTGCAGTTTACTAGTTTTACCTTAAATCCTCTCCTCTAGATAATGCACAGCACTTACGAGCACTTAAAAGAAGATTACGAAAGAATAGATGTTCCACTGGAAATGAGAGAGTGGTGGAAACAAATGGTTAAAATACAAAGCAAAATCCTAAAGGATGAACCTGGGTCTACGTTCATTAATAATTACCTTTCCTATCTAAAAAAAGTGGGTGGCCTCCCCCCCCCCCCCCCCCCCAAAAAAAAAATACAGTCTGTGGCAGATCTGGCTGGCTTCACAGACCAGGATCCAATTTTTCATGAGAACATTCCTGCGCCTCAAGAGGTTTCCTCCTCAGTGTAAGTATATAGAGTATCTCTCCATGCTCTGTTTTGTACTGAAACAATCTTTTGTCTCTATTCGTAGGCAGGGTAATTCTCTTTCTGTTGCAGTGTATCTTTTTTACCTCCAAGTGGTTTCGATAGTTTGCAGTTGCCTCCGATGGTTTTCCATTGAAAATCTTGAGAGGGAGCAAGGCTAGACAATTGAGCCTTCATCACTGGCTAACCAGGACAGGGGGTGACATCTCCTTCCTGTTTGAATGAGCCATCACAGAGATACATTATCCCCTGGTGACTTACTTCTGCTCCGAGTCCATAAAGCATACTTTCAGTATAACTACATTGTTCCTTAAATATTGCCCATACATGCATCTTGCAATGGTTATGAATCTTGACAAGTTACAAGCTTTCCATAGATACCTTATATATTACTATTTATGGATAATTATCCTGCAAAACATGTTTGCTGTAGTGAGTTTGTCAGGTCTGAGGTGAGTTGTTTGCAAAGAACAGGGGACCCTTTGCCAAGCAGCCTCTATGTCTCAGCGATTCAGTAGGCTATACTCTTCCTTCTGAGCCGGTGCTGATTCAGTGTCCCAGCACGGTGCATGCTGCTTGTGGTACCCTTTTTTTTTTTTTTTTTTTTCAGATGAGACATCAGTTTCTGATCACTTGTGGTCATTAAATATTTTATGATGATCTGCCTGAATTTCATTTTAGGTAACTATATTCTGTCTAGCAAAATTCTCCCTGTAGTTTGTTAGATACAGTATTCTTCAACCTTAGAAAGAAGGGAGTGGTCCTGTGGTTCAAGTGTAGAATTGGAAACAAGAGTTTCTTGTTCTGCTCCTTGGCTCCATCACTGTATACTTTGAACAAATCCCTTAACTACTCTGTTCTCCGGTTTTTCCAGTGTAAGTTTTGTAAGGCTTGTTTAATGTTTATAAAGCACTTGGAGAGACTCGTAGGAAAGGCACAAGAGAATAGTATATTATTGTTGATTGTAGTTCCATCTTTTCCTCCCAGCCTCTCTGTAGCTTCTTCATAAAGTGAAAAAGATCAGCGGTTAATCTCACCATTTCATAAAGCAAAATAGTAGAAGACTGATACTTTTGTACAGGAGAGAACGACAACCTTGTGGGACTTCAACCATTTTGTAATAGAGACTGAAAAGGAACTTGAGTGAAATACTGGTTCCCACAAATGTTAATGAAAAAGCCAAGTTCAGGTAGATCATAAATACAGTGCACAGCCCGTGTTTTCAAAAACAAACTAAACTGGATATTTTTTTTCCCCCACGCACGACTGTAGCACCCAACAAGGTATTGTATGAAAGGGGTAGATAAAACTGGCCTGTCTTCCAAAATAGGTTGATTTCTTAACTGTAGTAGGTTGACCTTTCCCCTCGTAATCAACTATGTATCAAAATATATAATATAATCAGTTCCTTTTTTTAACCAGAAGCCACTGTGACATGTCTGCTACATGTATTTACTTGAAGGCTCACACATGAAAGAGTTGGGCTATCAGCCTGGACAGTGTAGTTGGTATGTCACTACCAACCAGCGTCAGCTGAGTAGAATTTCCAGCTTCCCAGTCACAGAAGATGAGGATGACACATGCCAGTGCCTTGTGCATGTGTGTCCTTTGCCATGTATCTCAGCAAATAAATGCTGTTTTTTAAAGTTCACGTTTAAAGGAGTAAAGTCTTTATGGGCAAGTATCCACGCTGATGATGATCTAGAGGTGGAAAGACATATTAGGTCATCCAATCCATCTCCCTGATGGTGAAGGTTTTCTACCTACTGCATGTTACTATACATACAACATGATGGGGGCTAATTTAGCTACAACCAATCAGGAAAGAGATCTTGGAGTCATCGTGGATAGTTCTCTGAAGACGTCCACGCAGTGTGCAGTGGCAGTCAAAAAAGCAAACAGGATGTTAGGAATAATTAAAAAAGGGATAGAGAATAAGACGGAGAATATCTTATTTCCCTTATATAAATCCATGGTACACCCACATCTTGAATACTGCTTACAGATGTGGTGGTCTCATCTCAAAAAGATATACTGGCATTAGAAAAGGTTCAGAGAAGGGCAACTAAAATGATCAGGGATTTGGAACGGGAGAGATTAAAGAGGCTCAGACTTTTCAGCTTGGAAAAGAGGAGACTAAGGGGGAATATGATAGAGATATATAAAATCATGAGTGGTGTGGAGAAAGTGAATAAGGAAAAGTTATTTACTTGTTCCCATAATATAAGAACTAGGGGCCACCAAATGAAATTAATGGGCAGCAGGTTTAAAACAAATAAAAGGAAGTTCTTCACACAGCGCACACTCAACGTGTGGAACTCCTTGCCTGAGGAGGTTGTGAAGGCTAGGACTATAACAAGGTTTAAAAGAGAACTAGATAAATTCATGGAGGTTAAGTCCATTAATGGCTATTAGCCAGGATGGGTAAGGAATGGTGTCCCTAGCCCCTGTTTGTCAGAGGGTGGAGATGGATGGCAGGAGAGAGATCACTTAATCATTACCTGTTAGGTTGTGCTCCCTCTGGGGCACCTGGCATTGGCCACTGTCGGTAGGCAGGATACTGGGCTGGATGGACCTTTGGTCTGACCCAGTATGGCCATTCTTATGTATGTTCTTATGTTTGATACTGCTGTTTTGCTCCTTCAGTATATTTCCTGGACAGAGCACCTGTCATTCCAAAGTGCTTTACAAACTTTTACTAAGCAATTTAATTCTTTGCTTTGGGAATAAAGTGTAGTCAGATCGAGGAGAAGAAATGACGCACACCTGCATTCAAAAGACTATTGATTGAGAATGCTAAGGGTACATTTATCTTCCAAACTTTCTCCCCTCAAATCTAATATAGTTTGAAGGGAAGCTGAAACTAGTCAGCCCATTCCCACCTAAATTTCCCCCTTCACCTTCTTCCCCTTTCCTTATCCTTTTGAGCCTTTAAACATATCTCTTTCTTCCTATTCCTCTCATCCGCACCATCACTGCTATTCACATTTAAAATTACATTATGTTTTAAGACACACATCCCCTGAACATTTAAGCACATGTAATTATTATTCTTTTTTTATTTGTATTACCGTAGCATGTAGGCACCCCCGTCATGGACCAGGATCCCAGCATGCTAGGTTCTATACAAACCTAGAACAACAAGGTGATCCCTGCCACAAAGAGCTTACAAACCATGTGTAATCTTGCATCTTCTCCCCTTGCTCACATTCTGTTTTGTCTTGTTTTATGTCATATCTTCATTTAGATTGTAAACTCTGTGAGAACAGGGACTGTCTTTTTGTCTGTAAAATGCTACTGTACTTTGGGTGCTACATATGCCGGTCTCTTACATCTAGGCTATTGTTTCAAATCTAGGCATGCTCAGTAGTCAGCAAAAGTCATTTCTATCTGACTGTCATTCTTTAGGCATCAATAATGATGGGTGGTCTCATCCTAGTTCCTAGTGAGTATTGTGCAAAAGGACCACCAGCCTTGTTGATGGTCTCTCTGCTGAGGCAGAAGACCAAATGACCGTTGAGATTGAACTCCTCTCCTTAGAGGTTGTTGCATTAGGAGCTCGGTTAAGGCAGATTGACGAGAGTATGGGGAAGCTAGTGCTGCCTCTGCTCGTGTTGTGTATCTCCTGTGGATTAATGAAAGACTAAGGTCTCCAGGGCTGTCATTCTGACACCATTCATCAAATGCTACATTTGCTTTAAAACAAACCAAAAAAAGCAATTGCTGTCCTGTCAAATGGGGATTAAAACACACCTCCATTAACATGGAAAGTCTTTTACACAGATTTTTATCATTCTAATCAAGTTCATTTTACTGACTGATTTTTTTTTTTCCTTTTCTTTTAGAGGGACGTTCATATAGTGACTTTGGATGCACCTCATGGAGGGAGTTTTGTAACTACATGAAGTGGTCAATTCCGGCCTTTCTGTACTTTTTGGATAACCTGATAGTTTTCTATGTATTGTCCTACCTCCAACCAGTAAGTATACACAGACCAAATAAAATAGCATTGAAATGATGCAAGTCTCTCTCTTGCTGGAGGTTTGCTAGTTGGGGTTTCATGGTCCTGCAGTTGATCTGTCTAAGGCTGCCCTGTACACAAGGACCGTTTCTATTAATCCCTTCCATCCACCTGCCCATCAGATCCTGTTTTGTAGCTTCCAGTTGAAAGAGAATCTTTCTGCATTATCTACTTCCTTCCTGATTTAGAGGTAGCGTTGAATGGCTTCAAAGTGATGCAAGACTTGGTCCTTCCTTCTCCTTTCTTGAGCTCAGCATATCTGTTTGATTTGAAGGGGGGATTTTGAGTCCCATCCCCTATACAGCTCCTACCATTAATGTCTTTATATGAATGACTTCAGTCACTTTTATATTTTGCTTTCTTCTATTTTGCATCGATACCATTATGATCAAACCCCAAAAGTGAGAGGAAGGGGAAGTGGAAAGAGTGTTGGATGCTGATTTTTTGCATTTAATTACCTCCTGTACCTGAGCTAGTATCCAGTGTGACAGACATTTGCTGCTTTTATTCATAGAACCTGGAATCAATCTACAAATATTCAGAAAAATTTTGATCTTCATTTTTTGCCTGGGGGGATTTTTTTTTTTTTTTGGTTCAAGTTTTATTAGTGTTGACTATAAAATAACAGGGAATTCTCAATATATTTATCATGACACTAGAGAAACTATAGTTAAACTCAATCTAAACCTTTATTTTCACTCTCAGGCTGTCTCAAAAAATTGTCCTTTAAGGCTCAAATTTCTGGCATGGACAGCTGTAGTCAACAGGACTGTTGCTTTTGCCTGGTTTGCAAACATCTGGTTTTAGGGGAAAAAAGGTCTGGGTGATTTAAAATAACATATGCACTGTTTTATTAACTTCTGAAAGGTGAGCACAGGTATAATGCCCTGAATAATTACAGGATCTAATGTTTGAAAGATTACGTCTGCATGTAGTCATTTTCTTAAATAAGCAACTTGGCTTTTGGTTGAGGGGATCTTTTATAAAGATCATACAGCAAGCTTGTACACACACTAGTAATTTGTATTTCTTCTCTTAGAGCGAACGCTGTTCAAAACCCCCCATTTCCATTATATAATTCTTTGTCTTTAACTTTCGATCTGGTATATTTCATAGAGGTTTATTAAAATTGTAGTGCTATAATGGTAAAACAAGAATGAATAATAACATTTCCGATATTTAAGTGCATCCTGGGCTGAATAAATTCTGGAAGGCATGGTAAGCTGCAATTGAAAAGACAGTAGCTAGTTGCATGAAAGAAGATGCATGTAAGCCTTGTCTCATGTGATTTTAAAAACTAAGTAGGTATGGGTCTTACTAGTACTTGAATGAGTGACTGCCTGAAATACCGAGGGTTCTATGCTTGGAGCAGTGGCTGTTCTTAATTATTTAATGTGACTTATAAATAAGATTTTATGTTCTGTTATCTCATGTGTTGCGTAGTGGTCTCTGGTAGATTTGACTCTGATTCCTGCCCTGTTATCTTGTTCCTTGGGACATCTGTAAATAAATACTGGAAAACAATATCCAGTAGATATTGCACCATAGGCTGTTGGAGACAGGACATAATACAAATTTTGGTTTGTACTTTGATTGATGACCACAAAGCAAAAACAAAAATGTAAATGGAGCGTATGTTTCAATTGTGTATCCGTCCCTGTATCTGCTAGTCCATCTCTTGAAGAACCTCCTCTGTCAGTTCTGGATTCACCTATTTAGTCAAATATTTTTCTTACTTTTAAAAGCAGAACTAAGGAAATGTTATGCTTAATGGTCTAGTAACAGTTTTAAAAATGAGACTTTAATTTCACAAGTCAAGAAAATCAGAGGAAACTTTAACTGACCTCTTGTGTGTATTCATTGCACTTAGTATCTTTGATTAAATGGGAACACAGTACTGGAAAATGTGACCTGCTACTTGGCAAATAATACACTGGATTATAATGGAAAGGAACTGCCCTTTTTACTGGTTAACGCAAGACAACATTAATGCAAAGTTAGGGTTGTGAATTTAAAGACATAAGTCATGAAGGTCAGAATATACGCACAACATGGAAATTATTTATATAAATATTTGATTAAAATCTATTATGTAATGAAGAGATCTTTCTTCATAAAGGTCTACTGCAGGGGGAGACTCAAGGTAAGTTAAACCCAGATTTCTGTGTTTGTCACTCTTCGTTAAACAGGCTGTGAGATAAGGAGAGGCATATGACAGAAAAATATTTTTTTTAAATTCTTTTTAACCTCTGTTTCTGTTCGGGATTCATTAGAGTTGCACCAGAAAAACATTGTTCTGGGACATAAGATACTACAGGTCTCATATGGCCACTGGCGCCAATGATGTGCTATAAATGATGCATTCTCAGATGTCTTCAATGATCTCTTGACCTGGTTGATGAGGGCAGTAATTCAGTTTTGAATTTTCCTTGGCAGTTCATGTTTAAAGACTAGGGTCATGGCATGTCAGACATATTAATGGGAACCCACTACTTCCTAGCTAAGTCAGCCTGGAATGACTTTGAGGACATGGTTAAGGTTATAGAAAATCCCCGTGGGAACCTGAATTGAGAATTTTCTGACTCTTAAGACTTTTTAAAGTGTGGTTCTGCTCTGAAAAATGCCATTGTTTATGAAGTATCCAAATCAAATTTGTTCCCATTTCTCAAATAAAACAGTGTTGTTGTTTTAATTAATGCTGCTGCAAGCTTGCCCTGGGTTCTTTCCTTCCATTCATTATCACAAATAATTAAGATTTTGCAGACCAAATTCTTCCTTCAGTTACACCCGTGCAGACCCGTTGTCTTCAAATTGTGCTCTGTTACATCTGTGCAACAGCATTAGGCTATATCTACACTACGCAGCTTTTAGCGACACTAAACATTTGTCTTTTAGGGGAGGGTTTTTTTTTTTTTAACACTTCTGAAAGGCAAAAGTTTTGCTGTTCAGATGCCAGTGTAGACAAAGCCTTAGTCTTGTAATTGTTACCTAGTTGATAATTCTGTTGATGAGTGAGCCAGAATAGACTCCAGGAGCTGTATTGGTTATGCACAGCTAGCCAGAGTAAAACATAGCAGGCACTCCACTTTTTTTTTTTCTTTCAGTAAAATCAGTAGATTTGACTCTGATACTCACAGAAAATAGGATTAGGAAGGAGCCATTTTTACACAGTCACTTTCCAGAGTAGAACTGTGATTTATACATCTGTTTTCATGCGCACTCTTGAGATTGTAATAATGCTCAAACGTCAGAGTACAAACAGCAAAAAAAAATCTGAACACACGCCACAATTGAAATGACTAAATATTCTATGTATTAAAATTCTAACTCATGGCTGTAAAAGAAATTTATTGGCCCAAAGTGCTTGATCTAGCGCTCACTGAAGTCAGTGGAAGTTTTTTCAACTCTGTTTAGCCCAGGGTGAAATCTGCCCCATTGCAGAAAACCCTAGCAAGATTCTGTGCACCACTTAAGCCATTAATGTGGAACTGGCATTTAGGATCTTGTGTGGTTCCTCCTTGCAAGAGTGAATTTCGCCCCGAGTGAAAGGTCTGTCCCAATATGATCACTTTTTGCTGTGGGGTCTTCTGATAGATGAACACCGTGAGTTGATTTTTATTGGTCAGATTCTGTCTGGATTGTAATTTTTCCCCTGTCCTCTTTTTTTCTAGGCCATGGCTGTATTATTCTCAAATTTTATCATTATAACAACAGCGCTCCTATTCAGGATAGTGTTAAAGTAAGTAGCTATGAAAGCAAATAAAACATTGGGGAAGTTATGCTGGATTCTTTCTCTCCACATGAGGGCTATAGTATTTTTAATACTCTGTTTTTTCTGTAGTCTTTGGCATACAAGCGCGAATAATGACTTAGTGGTTTAACTGTTATTGTAGGTATGAAATACTTAGCTTAATTGGAACCACAAGTTTAAATTTCAGCAAATTTGTCTCAGTCCTTCATTCTTCTGTAATGGATAAATAGAATCATTATTGTATTGTAATGTTGTCTCCATTGTGAGTCGTGCAGGGGCTCCTCGTAGGCAACTGGGGGAGGCACTTGAGCACACTGCCTCTTTGGTGTCTGAGATGAAGCTCTAGGGAAATCCTCACCCCATTGAAGTTAATGGGAATTTTATCTGCTCAATGGAGCTGAGATTTCATTCTCTCTCTCTCTGGGTTTGCCTGTGGTGTGGAAGTTTCTCCGTGCCACGTGTCATTTGTTTTCAAAATGCTGAACACCTGTCCCTGTACTCTAAAGGTTTTGGGTTTTTTGTCTCCACACAGACGGCAGCTCTCCTGGGTGCAGTGGGCATCTCTACTGATTTTATTCCTGTCCATCATAGCCCTGACTGCAGGGACCGGAAGCTATCAGCACAGCTTGGCCACACACGGGTTTCATCATGACATGTTTTTCAGCTCCTCTAATCGTTGCCTTCAGTACACCAGGCCGGAGGAAGAGTGCTGGGGAGGAGACAACTGTACGGAAACAGGGTTCTTTCCCAGCTTCAAGTGGAATGTCACTGCTACCACTGCAGGAGCATTGAAACCTCTCCGCCTTGGCTTGGGCCATCTGCTGATAATAGTGCAGTGTTTCATCTCTGCTTTGGCCAACATCTATAATGAAAAGATCCTGAAGGAAGGGGACCAGCTCAATGAAAGTATATTTGTGCAGAACAGCAAGCTATATGTCTTCGGGGTGCTGTTCAATGGGTTGATGCTGGGCCTGCGCTCTGAGAACCGTTGGCAGATAGAGTACTGTGGCTTCTTTTATGGCCACAATGTGTTCTCTGTAGCTCTCATTTTTGTCACTGCCTTCCTGGGGCTGTCCGTGGCCTTCATTCTGAAGTTCCGAGACAACATGTTCCACGTCCTGACTGCACAGATCACCACCGTGATCATCACCATTGTGTCCATTGTCATCTTTGACTTCAAGCCTTCTCTGGACTTTTTCTTGGAAGCACCTGTGGTGCTTCTTTCCATATTTATCTACAATGCCAGCAAACATCAAGGCTTGGAATATGCCACTCAGCAGCAGAGGAACAAACTCCTCGGTGAGATCTGGGAGCGATCCAGCGGGGTAAGGCTTTGAAATGCTTGTGTCTCTGGTTGACTCCCTTTCTCACAGACTGTTTACCAGTTGACTATTCAGAGTTCACTACACGTGTGGCTGGACTCATAATTCAACCAAATTGTCACTTTCATTTAAATGACACAAGATCAATCTCGGTCTTGTAAATAAATCCTTGTTTTAGGTCCATACTTCTATGTGTAGCTTCCTCTTGTTTCCTGAGGCCTGGCTGAAGCTTTACCTCTCTGCTCTGACCTCAGATGATCCTTCAGCCATCTCGGCTTGAACATTCTTTTAGCATTTGCAGCCAAATACCCCATCAAACCCAAATATCCCAGCATTATACTGGGGAACTGATTATAAACAAGGAAAATTGACTAGTCTATTTTCACAGCCCAGGTTCAGCTAAATGCAGAAAGTAAACATACAGCATAAATGGAGGAAAATAAATTAGATATTTAAAAAAATTTCAGCTTTAACAGTCTAAGATGTTTTAAGAAATTCAGGTAAAAATTTTTTTTTTTTTTAAGAAACGCAGGTAAGGATATTTTTAATGTAAGATTTTCAACATGGTAGTTGCCCCTTCCTCATGAATCAGTTCCTCCAGCCTCCTGCTATAATTTCTGCTCTTCTATGAACGAAGATCCAGATGCTTAAAATCTAGGAAAATCTTTGTGGGGAAGGGGCTTGCTCCCAGACCTCACATTCAGGTGAACTGAGAAATAAGTCTGCAGTATTTATAGTATATTTATGGTCTGTGAGCAGCAGAGGGCACTGTCTGCATTTAGTCCTGGGAAACTTCATTTATCCCAGAAAGAGGAGGGTCGATGTTTCCTTGGAATTCTGCACAGTGCTATTGCAGAGTGATATTTAACAGTAAATAACACATATAGTCTCACATTTGTAAAATCAATCACTGCATGTTTCAGCAGATGTAATTAATTAGCTACAGTACAAGTTACTCAGCACCTATGTATTTGCCAACATAGGAAGGGACACATCTATTAATTGAATACAGTGCAATTGGTAAGATTTCAGGAAGGACACCATGGAAAAATGGTAAATATTTAGCTATCAAAAATATCTAGGGACTGTCCTTCAGGAACAGCTATGTATGTTGTATCTTAAACAAGGATCTTGGTGTCCCAGGACAAAAGCTTTTAAGTACAGGCCCTTGATTTTGCAGTTGTCACTGGACTGCTGCAGGGTAAGTATTACTAACAAGAAGAAAATTTGCTAATGCTGTTACTATCTTCTTCCCCTCCATTTTTCGGCTCCTGTAGGATGGAGAGGAACTTGAGAGACTGACCAAAGCAAACAGTGACATTGATACAGATGAAGATGCCTTCTAGCATGAGCTTGTGCAACTGAGTGCTGGGTATTCTCCAAGAGAACAGTGTTGGTATCTTTTTAAACTATGGGATAGTCTTTTTTCTAAGTGCAACAGTTAAAACTGTTTGGATGGTTTTGTGATTCCAGAGGATGTGTATTGTGTTTTTAAGTTGTGCAAATAAAACACATCTCCAAGTTCAGAATAGGGTGTGTCCAGGTTTGGGGCTGGGATGTCCGATGAGGAAAAAATGAGTAAAGCCCATTGGATTTCAGAAGTTGACAAGGAAAACTAGAGAATTATCAGTTCGAGCCTTATATATTAAGGGTTTTTTTTCCTCTTCTCACACTAGTGTAAATCAGCAGTTAATTCCAGTGCAGTCAATGATAAACTGATAATAAAAGTTATGAGAGAGAGAAGTTCGGCCCTAGCTTAATGATTTGGGTCACATGGGTGCTGTATTATGTATAGTAATCCAGAACACTCGGTGTCCTCAATTGTACGTGTTTGCCTATCATACACTAGGGTTGTATAGGGATAATATTTCTCACTGGTGAAGGGCCTGATCCTGTAAACCTCAGATCCATGATCCTGACTCAGTTGAGAATAGTCCCATTGAATGGGCCCCTAACATTTGTAAAGTGCTTTAAAGATATGAAGTGTTATATAAGTGCTAGGTATTCTTATTTCCAGGGCTACATGTTCATTGGTATCATGCACCCTTCTGCAATTTGATTAAGGGATGATTCCACAGCTGCAGAATGAGTTTCCTCATTTCTGCAGTGATTTGCAGGCACTGCTGCTCCTATGTGTCCTGTGGAACATTACACCCAATTATAAATATGTTCTGTTTGTTTGGTAACGTGATTAGTGTTGCACAGTGGCAGAGAAGCTTTCTTGATATTCAGAATACAAGCTTTTAAATAAACAGAGGGTTCATATACTTTCCTTTGGGGAAGTAATTTCATTCTTACTCTACCTGGAATTGCAGTTTGCCCATCACAAGACATCAGGGATTTTCATTCTAGTTCACTATAAAAGTAGTTACCTTATGTCCAAATTCACTGTAAGTGCATTTCACCATATCTGTAAATACAGTGTTTTAAATCTAAAAAGATAAACTTGACCCAAAATTTAGATTTTTGTAAAAAGCTTAAAAAAAAACAACCCTAAGAAATATTTCTGTAGTCTTAAAAAAATCAGATTAGTAGGTTCTGTTTAGATCAACATTTTTCTGCATTGTTTGCAGCTCAGATGCTACAAAACTGCGCTAGTGTGTGGGGTGGTCTAGATCAGTGGTCTCCAAACTTTTTTGATCGCGCACCCCTATCAGTAAAACAATTTTGAGCACACACCCCCTGCCGTGCTGGCTCTACCATTTTTGGCGAAGCAAAAAAAAAAGGGGCTCCTCCTGCCGCGCACTCCCAAGGATCCTCTTGCGGACCCCACTTTGGAGACCACTGGTCTAGATAATACATAGTCATGTCTCAGTGTAGGGGCTGGACTAGATGACCTATCGAGTTCCCTTCCAATCCAAAGTCTGTTCAGTTTTGAAAAATGATCTGTTTTATTCCATGCAGCATGATCTGGCAGACTCAGCAACTCCCGAGTCTAATTTCTTCCACTGCTTCAGTTAGCCACCTTGCCTCAGCCATTTCAGCTTCCTGACTGAGTTTCCCCATTTGTAATATAGAGATAATACTGTTACCTACCTCACAAGTGTGTTCTGAGGATTAATTATTGAATGTTTGTGCAGCACTTTAACAGTAAAAAACTATACAAACACTTCAATGTGTTTCAGTAATCTTAACTGTTACTAAGAAGATAAGAACACTTGTGTTTTGGTTTTTAAATATAAGGCCAGATTCATTCATATGTTTCAGCTGCTTTTTGACACTGGCCATACAAAGCACCTGTAAACCCAGCTTAATCAGGGAGCCCCTTTGAATTTGGCTCATCATTTTTTTTTTTTAACCTGACAGTGTCCTCTCAAACATACCATTTGGGTTAGGGATGTATTCCCTATTACAGGTGCAGCTCTTGAATGTGTAGTTTGACCGTGGTCCAGATTCTGACTTTACCCCAGTTTTATGCCAGGATAACTATTGGCTTGTGTAGAATTCCTCCTTATGTATGCTGGTATAACTGAGAACAGAATAAGGCCTGTTGATTTCAGCAACTCACCCTTATATTGCATTCTGTGTGAGACGCTGCTGCTTTCATACGTACTGGTGCCTATGGTATATGACCGCTTTGTAAATAGGTGTTGTTTTACCTGTAATTTATTATGCCTAATTGTGAAACAAGCCTGAATAAACTAAAGTTCATTATGAAATGATTGCATCATAAGTTATTTCTGGTGTGTGGTGTATTCATGGTTTCAAAGAGGGGGCAGCAAACTAGAGATACAATATTCCTTTTCTCTCCGTTGCCACTAGAGCTATTAAATAAAACCAGCAACACAGTGTATTCTCAACGACCCTAGAACATTTGACAGTTGCAGCATATGAGAGAGGGTGCAGTACATAATGACATTTGGTTGTTTCTGTAAGGTAAACAATTTAAGTATAATCTCTTAGCTATGTAGGGTTTCTCTACACTGGTAGCATTTTGTACCCACTCTGCACTGGTATATATAATTATGCAAGATGCTGGGTAAAGTGAGTTGAAAGTGGCTGCTGGGTGATGAAATGTTGCTGGAAGAACATCTGGGGATTGGAAATGGGGTCCATATAGTTCAGGTAAACTTGAAAGAAGAGGGAAAAAAATTAGAAGAAATATAGTCAAATTAGTAGGGAAAAGAAGCTATACTTTTTTCCCTTCTAGGAAGTATCTTTCATAGTGGAAACATCCACTGGATAATTCCTCACAAAACTATTTCTTAAAGGGTTATTTAATGATCCATGCTCCATTGTTAAGCTATGCCAGAGTGTGCAGCAGCAGCTCTTTGCAGAACATGATGATATTAAAACGCTATGTCAGGGATCAGCAACCTTTGGCACGCGGCCCGTCAGGGAAATCCGCTGGCGGGCCAGGACCATTTGTTTACCTGCAGCGTCCGCAGGTTTGACCAATCGCAGCTCCCACTGGCCGCGGTTCGCCGTTCCAAGCCAATGGGGGCTGTGGGAAGCGGTGGTCAGCACATCCCTCGGCCCACGCTGCTTCCCACAGCCCCCATTGGCCTGGAACGGCGAACCGTGGCCAGTGGGAGCTGCAATCGGCCAAACCTGCAGATGCTGCAGGTAAACAAACAGTCCCAGCCCGCCTGCCAAAGGTTGCCGATCCCTGCACTATGTGATTTAATTATTAACCAATCGGGATGCTTTCATTATTGACCAATTATGTTATCAACTTGCACTAAGGTACTAACTTATCTACTGTGATAAGTTTTTTTTTAAATATTTTTATTTATATATATATATATATATATATATATATATATAACAAAAGTCCCTTGTGTTTAAATATGAATAATACTACAGTAAATGGAAACAATGAAGTCACACTACTGTGACTCTTTTGGGTAATGTTGATGGCTAATTTGGCTCCTGAACCACTGAGGTCTGACTATCACTGATTTATACTATTCTTGGGTGTTGAAGGAACTTAGTTTTCACAGAGACTAAACTCTGGGCCAAATTTGAGTTGACAGCATCCTATAAATACACACCCCTTCTCTTTTCTGAAGTTAGACTGACAGCCCACCCACTTCAACTTTGCTTAACACACCCCAAACTCCTGATGAGACAGCCACCGCAATTCACAGCTGGGGCTGAGCCCAGTACACAAACACACACCTGGGACCCCCAGCCCCACACTACTTCACAACTCCAAAACAGGTGCCCAGATGCACCTCTCCATTTTCAAGCTAGAAATTCAGAGCAACGCAAACAGGCTTTACAGGGAAACTGCAGCTCCCAGTGCAGGCAGCTGGCTCTGGGTCCCCACGTGTGCTGCTGCAGAGTTTCTCAGTGGGCTGAAGGAAATCCTGCCTTTGAACTTGTGCTCCAAAATGCACGAGGCAATGTGTTCTATGGCTTATTAATGTACACTCTCTGCCATGCTTGATCAGTTCATTGGTCCATCAAGTGTGATATCCAACCTCCAGTTGTGCCAATACCTGTCAAGTTGCACTTGGTGTTTCCCCTCCAACTGCTGCAGCAGTCAGCTCCTGAATTGCATGTCTAATTCACCTCAGTGTTAAAATGCTTGATTTTAAACAGCTAAAGCTGGGAGCAATTCAGGGTTAGGGCCCCATTGTGGTGCTTTATTCCAGCCCATACTATATAAAGAGCATTACAACCATGTGGTATGGATAAATGGTTGCAGATTGGTAGATGGGATTCAGTAATGAAGAGCCTTGAAGATGAGGACAAAGGCGCTTGAGAGGCCTGCACATCCAATATCAAGTCAAAGGTGGTTTACTTGGACTCACTGATTCTATTTTCTATCCAGGTTCTTTTACGTGACCATAGCACCCTCCCTGACATGAGCCATCTTAGGTAAGTCCGTCTATTTAAACTCTTTGTATGCAAAACAAGAAAGTGCTTGGAGGGATCTGAGGGTGTGAGACGGCGTGGGCTAGGCCCTGAGGCCCCCTGCTGGAGGCCTAGTGTTCCTGCCACACCCCGCCCCAGAAAAGGGCCGTAGAGATGTCCTCCAAGCTGCCTAGAGCGGCTGTGTGGGAAGCAGCCAGTCAGGCCCAGCAGGCTAGTATACAAAGAGGTGCAGGGCCAGAGCAAGTTCGGTTCCTTGCTAGAGCTGGAGGGGAGTGGACGGTGCTCTGGGCTGGCTGCTGGGACTCCACCAGGACAAGGCCCTGAGACAGACTGTGTCTGACTTGGCCGGAGGGCTGAGTCAGCGAAGACCCACCACAAACACATACTCGGCCAGGGGGTGCTCGCGAGAGGTGAGTGCAACACTGTTATAGGACGAATGAGAGATTCAGAGCAGCTTTTTGGAAAGCCAGAGAAGGGGTTACAGTTGTTAAAGGTATGAATCATCAAACCACAATTTGGGTGAGGAACCTATTACAAATGGCCAAGATCCCCTAACCACACCCCTAAGCTAATGTCAACGTGCAGATTTCTGAAGGCTTCAATGGATATCTCTCAGGTTGGTCATCATGTTAGTTTTCTTATTACACTTCTCAGAATAAGGTTTGATTTCCCCCCACCCTTTTGATTTCAGTGGATATGCTTCCCGCCCTCCACAGCTGTGTAGTGCAGCTAATCAGCTACAGTGGTCCACCCCAGCTGTGGATGAGGTGCTCCTTAGCTCTCCCGGGCTTATTGCACTGGGATGTTTTGAGGCTTAATTAGGATTAAATTGGGTCCCTTGGCATGTTGATGAGCCATCCTAGGAAAGGAATTGTGTGTCAAGGAGCCACTGTTCCTTCCCTATTCGCCCCCTCCTGTGGTGGAGAATAATTTGCTGCTAGTGCAAGTTGCTACCCACCACGCTGTGCTGGCTCAGCTCTTTTGGCCAGTACGTTGAGGGTGTAGTCAGACTCCAGATTGCTGCTCTGGGAGGAGGGAGTAAGTAGGTGTGTAGCACGGTGCACCCCTTGTCTCGGCATCCTTGGACCCATGGTCTGGATTGCCCATGCAGGGGCATCAGGAGGATGGCGACTTACCTCTTTCTCTTACTTCCATATTATATGGGTGTACAGTCCAGGCTACTGTCTAGGAATCTAGGTCTTAATAGTTGTTAAAGCATTTTGAGACACTTGGATGAAAAGCAGTGTGCATGTAAAAATAGTATTCTAGTTCCTCGCTTTTAAAAATGTTCCTCCTGAGGGGAGCAGTGCCCTTTCTGTAGTGTATTTTAAAGAGTCAGACAAAAACTCACAAATCATGGTTGTGATTTATTTATTAGCCATTACTTTCTAAGTGACACTTAGATGTGAAACTTCACAACCAGACTCATATTTTCTATACTCTTACGGTAGCTCGTTAACAAAGAGAGAATCCTGCCTGCTTTAACCTGTACAGAATGTAACAGGAAAACACATTTAAATGCAGTTTCCAGATGCATATTTTCATTGATGGGCGATGGCCTGTTTTGGGAAGGGAAACCATTAATGCACAAAACACCTTAACTGTTAAAATTTCAGTTGCTTTAAGACACATTTCATTGCTTTCCATTACATGCATCTTCGCAGTATACAGTATGTGCCTGAATTTCTTGTCTTTTGCAAACATGATAGCTGTCAACCTTAGAATGATACTTCCAAGAACAACATATGGAACCATTAGCTTTAGATTATATTTCATTTAAAGGAGAGTGACAGCTTTTACATAAACTTTTCCAGAGAGTTTTCCCACATGCAAAGTCTGAGCAT